TCATTTTCTCTTAATAGGACGTATATTTATTTTTTTTCACTTATCGATCCAAATATTGGTTCCCTCTCTATATTTCTATTTATCTAAAGCGACATATGAAGAAAGTAGGAAGCTGTCACTTAACTCACTTTCATGTGGCCGGTTTCCATCGCAATAGACTTGTGTATGTGTCAATTTGTTTTAGAGGTTAAATTTGGAACAAGAAACTAAAGATCAAGTCTCACCTGTGCCAATGCCAACTTCTCAGGAAAATGAGGGGTGTGTTGTACGCAATGAACACTGGTCTTTGCCTCTCTTGTCGATTGAATCACTAAAATTTACATCCTTTCACAATTCCACTGAGCAGAACGTGAGGCAGATTTTGCCTTTTGGGAACAAGAGTTATGTGTCAAATGGACTGCTCCAACTCGATCGCGATATCATCTAACTAAAGTTGACTATGTTGCTACCATTCACATTTCCACGTGGTTTACCAATTCCAAATCACTACTACAGAAAAGATTAAATCGACTATCTCATTTGCATCGGTTTCACTGAAAATCGATGCAAATGAGGCGTAAGATTTCACCAACTAGTATTTTTTTGAATCGGTTATTAGTAATTAATAGCCAGTTCAATAGGCTATTGAATCCATTAATACTAATAACATACTTATATTACTCTCTTTGTTCCTGAGTACTTGTCCACTTTTGATAATAAAAATGATATTGATATAAAAATAGTTTTATTAGATTTATTAGACCAAATACTTTCAATACATTATTTTACCTAATTAATATACAATATATATTTTATTTAATTAAAGGTCAAAAATTAAAATAAAAAAAGTCAAAATTGGACAAATACTTAGGGACAAAGGTAATAAGAACTTTTGAATCGGTTATTAGTAAAAACTGATTCAATAGACTATTGAATCGTTTATTACTAATAAACTAACTATTCAAAAGATTGAATTAAAACGAACCACTTAAAGTCTACCTCTTATGCGTCCTCATTTCTTCAAGCGTTTGCTTGTCGTTTCCCATCACTGTCACCTGCTACTGCGTTGCTGTGGTCGCTTGTTCAACGTCGTCCTCACCCTAGGCCTCGCCTTTGCGGTCATCCAACATATATCGACCAACCAAGATATACCCGTTCAAAATTATTTGATTACGGAGTAAAATTTAAATAGCTTCTTCCGTATATTGACCAATTATGATACCCGTTTAAAATTATTTGATTACGGAGTAAATTGAAATGATTCAAGTAGTATTTGTTTGATGTTACATGATCTGAGATGTTATAATATAGAAATAACATATACTCCTGAGTATCAACCAACCAAGATACCGTTTAAAATTTACTCGATATGAGTAAAATTTAAGTAGCTTCCACTTTGGAGATGTTCTTGAACCACTTTCCTCACTTAGGTGGTGAATGTATTTCTTTTTCTTAGTTCCATCATTTTTTAGCATGACATTTTTCAAATGCGTTCTCTGGGTGCATATCTAACTACATTCCATCGTGTACTTGGAAAACTATTGGGAAATACTTCCAAAATTTTGATGGATCAAAAAAATGAAATGCATTCACTAGTGAGGGTGTCATTTTGAGATTGGGTACGGTTAGGATAGAGTAAAGATATAAGCAGTGAGGGTGGTGTTACTATGTAGTTTTATGGTTCATTATTACTTTCTGTGCTTAGTGTTCCGTATCGTTGTCCGATGTAAGTTCATTTTAGTGTACTCTTGAAAGTAAGATGTTTGTTTTATGATATAAAGTATAATTGTTTGTCTTGTTCTTTATGATTATTTTGGATTACTAAACAACCAAAAAGTCAATGTAATTGTTATTGCACATTGATATGCGTGCTCGGTCAAATTGGGAACATTAAAGTCGGACGTAGGGAGTACAATTTTTAAATCATTAAATGTTATAAAAGTTGATGTAACAATTGACTTCTTCTGTCTCAATATATTTGTCCCGATATTTGTCTAGTTTTTATATTTTACATTTCAAATTAATAAATTTTGGCCATTAATTAAATAAAATTTACACTATAATATATATTGATATAATACTCTTTTTATTAGATTTACCTTATAAATGTTTTTTAAAATATTTTTTATATGACAATGCAAATATACCATGTAATTTTATTTAATATAAGTCAAAGACCAATATAATCATAGTTGAGTACAAAAAATCAAAATTAGACAAATACAATTGGGAAATGAAGTAATGGGGTGAATCAACGGGAGAAAAGTGATTTGTTTACTCCCTCCATCCCAAATTATATTGCCTATTTATCATTTATATAGTCAAATTATATTCATTTTTTTTCTTATTTCACTAGTTATTTTAAAAAATAATATAATCATGTCATTACTAAAATAATCAAACAATTTGAATTTGGGACAGGGGGAATAGTTAAGAGGAAGGAGTGAGTGAGACTGAGCCAGTTTGCAATTTTTCAAAACTAAAATTGTATAGAAATAAAACATTAGTGAATAACTTGCATATAAAGGAATATAATGTCAAAATCTTCAAAAGGCGAGAGAGGTGACAATAATATATAATTAAATACATAAATACGGAACAAATAAAAATTAATGTGAATTTTACTCATCATGAGACGGAATGAGTACTAGCTACATACTTGTTGATTAAGCTTTGATGGCATTACAAGGACAGTAGGACACAAATACTTAAGTGAAAGGGCATCATTATATTCTCCTTCGATTTAAAAAAATTATGAGTCGCATATATTATGAAATATTAAAAAAAGAAGAAATATCCCTAACTAGATGTGAGAAAAACATCATTAAAATATCAACATACAAGTGTATGTATTAGCCTATTATAAGTAATTTGACGAGTTCATGACTGTGTTTTTCATTGCCCTTTGCCCTATTTTTGCAACCCAGTTCTAAGATATAATTTAAAAGGGTAAATCTTGTTGTTTTTACTATTTACGGAGTATATATTTATAATTACTTGAATTTGTTTATTTTTTGTAATGTAATTAGTTACTGCTCATATTTGTTTATTTTTGAACTCTTTAGTTGATTCATAAATTATTCTCTTTTAGGTTAATGTTTTATGCCCTCTACGTGTTTGAAGAAATGTCTACAAGTGGTACTTGGTTATTTAATTTTTTTTTCTCTTTTGCTTGAAACAAGGAGACTATTATACTTTCTTTTGTTATGCTCTTGATAAAAAATTTCTCAAATAGTATTACATAGAGCTATCAATATTAATATCAGAATGCTACATACTCAATGATTCTTTGTTTTCTTTACAATGTATGTTTTAGATTTATTACTTCGCATTATATAATTTTCATATTCTGTTTGTGCACTCACCATTTTCCTTACAGTAAAAATGAATCAACTCTCCCTAAGACTATGTTTGGTTCAACGAATTTGAAAGGAAAAGGAAAAGAAAATGAAGTGGAAAACACTTTTTCTTATTTGGTTAGAGAAGAAAAGAAAGGAAAAATGGAAGAAAAAAAGAGAAAGTAAAATGTACTAAGTGGAGCGAAAATCAAATTCCTCTCATTTTGGTAGAATAATGAGAGAAAATCATTTTCTTTTCTTTTCCTTCCAAATTCCTTGAATCAACATATATAGTGTAAGTGTCCACTCTTAGAGAACCCTTTAGGAGAGTGAACCCTCTCTCTATAAATCTTGAGTCCGTTATTGTGAATGATGAAGCTATAAATGATGGCAATATGAATGGTGGAGTGCGGTGACAGTGAAGTGGGGACCACCCGTCAGCGATGGTCAACACTAGTGACCACCGTCGATGCTCTAACGACCAGCGACAGGCTCGGGTGACAATGTGCACTCCTAATTAATAAGGTAAAAAAAGAGTGCCACTTCAATTTTCATATTTTCATTGTCTTTCACTTCAATTTCACATAGTTCTCCCTTGAAAAAAATGATGCAAAATGATGTAGGGGCACCACTACTTGAGATACCGGTTTTGACACTGGTGTCTCTCTCACCACACATTTCCTCGTGTATGAAAAAGAAAATTGAAGAGATATATAAGAAATGTGTGGTGTCAGAGATAAGAATGTCAAATTAAAAGTGCTCTCTCCATAGCATTACTCAGAATGGATGCCTAGGATATAGACCCGATCACGGGCCTGGTTATCCGACCCGCCCGCAAAAGCCCGCCCGCAAAATAGCGGGCTTGGGCTTGACATTTTAGGGTACGGGCCGGGCTTGGGCCTTATAAATGGCGGCCCGAATATGTTAGGGCCGGGCTCGGGTTTATGCTCAAGCCCACGGGCCGGCCCGGCCCGAATAAATTAAATATTTATTATTAATATAATTATAATAAAATAACAATAACAACATTAATAATAATAATAATAATAATAATAAACAAACCTATTTCAAATTATTATACACACACATACATACTTCTATGGAGAGAAAAAATAAATTATAGGTATATATAATAAAATGAATACGTCTTTACTAATCCGTATTGTTTGCAACGTATCACACATTGATTATGACATTCCAATAGATAATATTTTGTACTCCATACATAGTAGCAATATCAAACAAAATATATTTATATATCAATTTTTCTTTTATTTACTCATAATAGTATCAAATATCTAATATATTAACTTGTTACTTTTTTTAAAAAAAATATTTTTAAATTATTTAGAAGTTTTTGTCGGCCGGGCCGGGCCTGCCCGAAGCCCGCGGGTAATCATGCGAGCCGGGCTTGGGCTTCAATTGTTAGGCCCGTTATACGGGCCGGGCCAGGCTCGGGCCTAGAAATTTTTCGTAAAGTAGTGTCTCGGCCCGACCCGAAACCCGGCCCGGTCCGCACTTTGATCAGGTCTACTAGGATATAAGTGAATTTCTTAACAATTACTCCCTATAAAATAAGGTAAGGAGTACGGAGTAAGTAAAGTGTTCAAACTTTATTATGCAAATGGAAGTGGAAAAGCAAAACAAAACAAATCAAAAAGAAACACACTATATGTATACATGTCATATTTCCTATTTGATAGTACTACAAACCAAAACATTTCAACCAACAGAGATGACTCGATAAAAACGAAGAAGATTATTTTGCACTCTACATGGTCATTATATATACTACTACCCCATATTTTACTTGCACAAAATTATTTTTTATTCACACTGACACAATAATTTGTCTGTGTGACTAAAAAAAATGTGAGTAAAAATGTGAGACTATGTAGAGCTTCCAGTAAATACACAACTCATATAGTAAAATAAAATTCCATAAAAAATGAAAACTATAGTTTTTTTTTCATATTGTAAAATAAAACTCCATAGAAAATGAAAACTATGGTTTTTTTTTATATAGTAAAATAAAACTCCATAGAAAATGAAAACTATGGTTTTTTTTTGTTTTGAAAATATATATGAGTAATTGATTATTTCCAACACTCGTACAATTTAACAAGCACGCGGAGTCTGAAGTACACTGCACCCTCAAATGCATCAGTCATCAAAGTGGCAACGCCTCGAGCCATGAAGAAATCCCCGGTGCCACCAATGACCGAAATGTCCCTGGTCTTGTTCAATAAAGGGTCAGCTCCAGCAAAGTTGATGGTACCCCTATGCTTGGTGGTGTTGAAGCTACAAGTGAACCCTAGCCATGCAGTGAACACGTCCTTCCTGTCATACAGGTAAAACCCCTGGGCCCACCCCACGGGCTTCGAGTGGAGGTTGTTGTCCAACGTGATCGGGTCGTAGAACACGACCACGTTCCCGAAGTGGCCTTGGTCCGCTAAGATGGTCCGGTTGCCCCAGGCCGGTGCTCCCACAATGGCAGAAGTGGCATTGTGGGAGTTTTGACCATTGTAGATTATGTCATGGAAGTAGAAGTCTAGGGTTTGGCATGGGGTTATGGCCTTCTTCACTCTAGTTTTGTGTTGTTGAGGAGTAGGAGATGATGAAATGGAGTTGGCATGGAAGAAGAAGAAGATCAAGAAGAGGGAGAAGATGAACTCCCTTGAAGAAGACATAATAATTAATTTGCCAAATGCTTTGGTTGATGAGTGGTTGGATTTGTGAAATGAAGATAGGGGAGTTGGTCTTTATATAGCTAGCTATCTAGCTAGCAAATTGGTTTGGTTTCAAACACAAGAGCTTACAATGGAATTGTCAACTTTGAGGGAACTAAGTGTTTGGGTGACAGGGTATTCAATTTGTTCAGTTTTGACTTTTTATACTTAATTAATAATGATCTTTACCCTATAATCAAATAAAAAGTACATGATATATTAATTAGATTAAATAGTATTTTAAAAATATTTTACAAGATAATTAAATATATTAAATTTATTCTTGTACCAATAATTTTTATTCAATTTATGGCCAGAATTTAATACTCCCTTCGTCCTTGAAAACTCTGTCAAACAACGACATTCTTTGATCATAAACTAAGCATAATCTAAATAAATACTACCTCCATCCCAAAATATTTGCAACATTTCTAAAGACGTACAGAATATTATCTCTTTTAAAATCATTTTATTTACAAATTATTAGAAAAAAAAATAAATATTACACTGTTCAAAAGTACATCAAATTTCTACAGAATAGAATGCGACAAAAATATTTTATTTTATCAAGTGCTCAACCAAAACAATTAAACAAACAAAAATTATCAAAAGACCGAAATAGTAATTAATTGTGACATTCTTTTTGGGACAGTAGGAGTATATGTTATAAAAATTTGATGTATCAAATTCAAAACTATATTTTAAGATGAATCTAATTATATTAAATTTATATAATAATTTAATATACTATTCTCACAATTTGTCATCAAAAAAGTGTCACTATTTAACTAAAAATATCAAAACATTAAGAGTTTCACGGGCTGAGAGAGTAATTTTGATTGTAATATAAAGAATAAAAAATTGACAAATTCTATAGGAGGGAGGAAATAATTATTTGGTGTATTGAACTATGGAAAAAGTTAAGTATAATTGCTCACAAATGACTCCAAATCTGTTTCACATTGCTTTTAATTTTGTTAATACATATATGCATGTTTTACTTTTGACTAATACTCCGGTGTTTGTTTATGAAAAACGAGTGAAGACAAGTTTCAAATCATGTACGTACAGTTGGTGTGTGTGGGGTGGGGGTGGGGGAGTATCTAATTCATTTAAATACTCTGGATTATTGTTTGGTGGATTAGAAATGAACTAATCAATATAATTAAACTATTATTGTTTGGTGGATTAGAACTAATAATTTTGGACTACTATGGTTTGGTGGATGAGTTAAGATAGGGAGAGATCAAGAGTTTTCTCGTGTATATTTCTTCTTATTTTGATTTTCTCTTCAACTTTTTAAAATTTTGATAACGAATTATGGAAAAATGTATATCCAAAAGTGATATAAATTTATCATCAATATATTTGATTTGAAACATAGCTTTGGAGTATAATTTCTTATATATTTATTTTTATACTCCCTCCATCCCTTAAGTTCTTCCCTTATTGATTTTTATAAAATTTAAATAAGAGATATTTTTGTATCGATTTTTTCTAAAATACCCTTAATCTGATGGGTAAAAAGTAGGATGTGATGAACAGATTATTAGTAAAAATGTATGATATGATAGAGGTAAGAATTAATAGGGGTAAAAGTGGTTTTTTAATAGAAAATGGAAGGGGATTGTGGGGCAAGAAAAAAAATGAGAAAGAGTTTAAGGGACGGAGGGACTATAAAATAGAGATCTTAATAGTCAAAATGTAGTACTCCCCTGTTCTTGAAAGTAATTTAAATCTTGACCAAGTGTTAAAACAAAAAAGTGTTAAATTGTACGGAGTAGTCTTCTAATTCTTCGCTTGATATGATGGATAAAAGTAAGATATAATGGATAGATTATTAGGGAAAAAGTATTATGTGATAGGTAGGGTAAGAAAAAGTGAGGGTAATGTAATTTTTTAATTGAAAGTGTCTTCAGCTTGTTGCACATGATTTTTGAAATTATCTTGTTAGGAGTACATTACAGCGCTATGGGTCTGTAGTCATTGGCCAGATAAGGAACTTCTACCTTTGGGATTAAGGTCATCAACCTGGTGGCATTGATCTGGGATTAATTTTTTTTTGTTTCTACTCATTATTAACCTACCTATCATATCAGATATATTCAGTATTAATCTTCATGTCACATCCTATCATATCTTATAATAAAATAAAAGCAAAATTGAAAAGTAAACTAAAATTGTTCATTCCTTACATCTCACCTTTTTAAGGTGGAAAATTTTGTGAGAAGGAGGTAGTACATTCTTATATATTGAAAAACTACTACAGTATAAGAAATGATCAAATTAAATAGATTTGAAAGAAATCGACGTTTTACCAAAAAACTTTCATCACTTTTAATTAAAATTGGAGAACTCGCGGGATAAAAGTAAAAATTTATAAAAATACAAAAATAAGACTCTTAATTCTTTTAACACCAAAATACGGAGTATATAGGAGTTTACAATGTCATTATTGTTGCTCTACCGCACTCATCACATTGTTACATTGCAACTGTCAGACTATCACTGCCATCTGACGTCGCCGGCCTTCAGAGTCCCGTCGTGGATCGTTGACGGTTGATTGATCACTCTGCCATATTACACTTAAATCATCTTTCTATCACACTGCCAACACATACTCTTACATCACACTAACATTATATTCATATTTTGGTCTTAAAAGACTTAGAACTTCTATTTTTCATTTTCATACTTTTTTTAATTCTATCTAGCTGAGAGATTGCTTTTAAAATCACTCTTGACCATACTAATTATTAAACTACATACCTATTACATCATATCTATTCACTATTAATCTATCAATCACAACGTATCCTTCTCTACTCTAAAGTAAAGGCAAAATTAGAAAAGTAATATTAAAATTACACATTCCTTAAATTCTACTATCTCCGTCTCATTTTATATTGCCTATTTTGACTTTCAGGCATAATTAAGGAATGGAAAAAATGACATTGACCTTCCAATTAAATAAGAGAGTTTGTATTCTAAATAAGAGAGTTTGTATTATGAAGGTATTCCAAATAAGAGAGTGTGTATTCTAAATAAGAGAGTTTGTATTTTTTAAAGTGGAAAAGTTTTAAGAGATGGAGATAATATCTTTATGTTGTTATCTTCTAAATAAGAGAGTTTGTATTATGAAACGTATGCAATTTGACATTGCACATTTTCCATTTTCATTTAGATACGGAGTATTAGTTAGTATCTCATTCGTTCTAAAACTATCTTAACAGTTATTATTTACACAGTCAAATTTTATTCACTTTCTTTATATATTTTCATTATTCATTTGATAAAATAATATAATCATATCAAATATAGTTTTGTAGAACTTTTGATGTAGTTTTTAAGTACATACGAATATATTTTATTTTCACATTTTACATTTCTAATCAAGCAAATTGAATTGAAAATTATTTCGGTCACACTTTGTTAACTAAAATGAAAAGTTACTTTTCGGACAAAGCGAGTATTGTGAGTCCTAGAACATTTTTTTAATATAGATAATACTTGGAGTACCTCAAATGTCCAATAACTCAAGAAGTAGTTAGCTAGATGACTTAGAACTAAAGGAAAGTTGCACTATGCATTACGTTCAATCGTGCAACACTTGATTCACATCCATCCCAATTCCCAATAACCTCATTCAAAGGCATGCATTAAAATAACGAAGGTGAACGACTTAATCAACTATGGTTAAAATAATACGAAGTACAACTTATATTTTATACTTTGTATTATATTATTAGATATTTTTAGTTAGCAAAAGTATTTTAATTTGCATTTTTTGTTTCTCCATCTAGTTTTTATTATCATTATATTGTGCATATACTATTTTACACTTTCTATTTTTATATCTATTACTTTCTATTTTGACAAGTTTGAGCTGGTTGTTGGCACCATGATTCTACTTAATGAACCAGACCGGATTCGTGTCTGGGCTGCGGTCCAACGTAATACTCTGTATATACATCTCACACTTTTTCAATGGAAAAAAAGTGCATGACGACACTCTCATCTCAACTTTACATAACTTAAAGTCAATCTACTTAATTTTGATTAGTGGGCAATGTAATTTTTTTTCATAAACAACTAATTGTATGAAATAAAATCTAAACAAAAAATTAATATGAAATGAAACACATATTAATTGGGTTCTTTTGCATGTCTATAGGGGCCATAGGGGATTCCTTTTATCGAGTTGCTAAGATCCTGATTTACCTCCCTCCACATATCTGGTTGGGGTGTGGGAGGCAGGAGGCTTGTAGGATTGGTAATTCAATCTTTTTGCTACATTATTGAATGACTTCCCAGTACCCCTCGCTAATGGAGAACTTTGCTCTCAGCCTTGTTAGTTGAAGTCTTTAATAACATTCTCTTTTAAGTCATTTTAGTTCAATTCCTAGGTCATCTTTGTTGTATTAAGGTGCCCGGTCGGAGGGAGTATTTAATATGCAATACAATATTGTGGGCGATTCGCATTACATGGCTTAGGAATGTCATGGGATGATCCAGATGCCGTACGATGCTCAGTTCGTAAAATTGACGGTTCCTACCCTCTTAACGCCCCCGGTAAACCCCTCCCACCCCATCAATTGAAGCGGAGGAAATCTATTTCTTAACTCCACAAATTAACATTTTAAATGTTAAAAAACGATATACTCCCTTCGTACACAAATAAACTTCCCGTTGCGTTTACGAATATGTGAAATTTGCACTAAATAGGACTAAAACATAATGATTTTCCTAATGTAAGACTTAAACTTTTTTATTCCTTAAATAGGATTTAATAATGACCTAGTGAGAGAAATAATGTCTTGTAATGTTAGACATTTACTTCAATAATGACTACTTGATAATGACTACTTGATAATGACCAAAAGTCCTACATTAGAAAATAAAAACATATGGTCCTATATTGGGAAAGTCATTATGTTTTAGTCCTATTTAGGTAAATTTCTCTTACGATATTTGACTGAAGTTATTTTCAAATTATTTTATATGAAAAATGGTGTAAAATTTAAAAATAAAAATTACATATTAAAAAACTATATCAAAAGATCTACAAAACTAAATGTGACATGACTATATTATTTTATCAAATGAGTGACGAAAATAGGTCGACAAAGTGAA